ATTAATTTAAGTTAGTTTAATTTTTATCCTTTTTTTTTCTCGCTCTCCCATTTTTTCATTTTTATTCATTTTAACTAAGACTGAAGATAATTTCTCACGCACCACCGTATGCCATTTTTTTCTCTTTCTCTTTTTCTTTTTTTTTTTTTCAAAAATTATTTAAAAGAAGCAAAGAGAGTGAAAAAGGAAGTTTGAAGAATTAATATAAATTCTCTCGAATATTTATTACGAAATCAATGCAATGCAATTGAAAGTACCATTTTAAACTTTTTTTTTCGGATTTTGGAAATTTGTTTTAGAAAGTATAATAATAAGTTAATCAATCAACACAATCGAATTTATTCTCCGATCAATCATTTGCATGTTTTTGAAACAAATTAAACCACTGATGTTCATTGATTGATCGACAGGGACAGTAAAAAGTAGAATATCTTATTGTGTACTTCCTCCCATCAATATTATTGTACAATTTGTTTCAGTTTAAAAGTTTTTTTTTCGTTCAAAAAGTTTTCATAACTTTTTTTTTTTTTTGGGAGGACGGAAGGATGCATGAACAAATACTAAACGTGATGCTTAATATTTGCAGTTTAATTTACTTAATAAATTGATGGTTAATTGTCTTTCGGGATTTATCGACTAATTTCAAGCAATCTTAGAGAGATATTTGATGAATAATAGTTCATCCGAAATTATAATCTCTCCGTTTATCATCTCTTTTCTCTTTGCTTTTCGAAATTATTTCAATAATATAATCGAAAAGTTTTAACTACTGCAGGAAATTTAATTCCGGCAAATAATAGAAAATTGAATTTAATTGAGCTAATATGTTACTTGTATCATTATAAAAATTTTCCATTCATAATTGAAAATTTTATGATGATTGCAAAATTACCTCCTTGTCATGCTAATTAATTAGCCTTGAAATGTGTTATTAATTTAAGATTGATTTCAATAAATTTAATTTCAAAGGAAATAAAAAATTACAATTCACACACATACAAAAAAAGGAAGAGGAGACAGTTAGTTGTAAAATAGCAAATTTAAATTTATTGCAAAAAAAAAAAGAAACAATAAAATTGTGTGCCCACTTTTGCATGATCAAATATGCATACAAAGAGAAAGAAATGATAAGTTCTAAACTTATTATATGCCTCAAAATATACTTGTTAACAGCAAAACAAATATTCCTAAAATAGGTTAATAAGTTCCAGCAGGCACTTTCTAATTTAGAATACTAAAAAAAAAAAATGAAAAACGAAAAAAAAAACAAAGAAACCCGTTTTGTACAAAAACAACAAACTTTTACGGCGAAACCCAAAAAAAAAAAAAATTATACAAAACATCGGAAAATTTGGTACTGGATAATTTTACAAGAAATGGAAAAACTGAAATTCCCGGCACAACAAAAATATTTTTAGCAATAATTTTCTTCAATTTAATTAATTAATTTTGCTTCATCAAATGCTTTCCTTCCATTTCCTGGAATCAAAAAAAAAGAAGAGAAAGAAAGAAACGGAAATACAATAGAATTTGAGTTCGGTTATGAGTGTTATTGTATTTAAGATCCAAAACAAAAATTAAAATTTTTGATAAATATTTGCAAAGAAGCATTTGATCTAATTCACAAATTTTTCTTCATAAATTAAAAGTCTCTTTTTTTGTTTCATTCTCGAATTAATATTTTCAAAAAAAAAAAACGAGAGATATATGATGAGAAATAAACCATATGTTGTTCATTTCAAAAAATTTTGAAGAGGTTAAGAGAACGAAAAGAAAAAATTAATTTCCAAAACTTTTACTTCAAATGTGATTAAAAAATAACACAGAAAGAAAAAAGTTTAGTAAAAATAATAATTAAAAAACTGTTTTCTTTTTTGTCGTTTTTTTTTCAATTTAAATAATGAAACAAAATATAAATAAATAAAAAGTGGTTGGGAAGGGAAAAAAAAAACAACCGAAAATTACTAAAGCACCGCACATTTTCACTGAATGACAATTGTGATAGCGCTGTGATAACGATTATAATCATTCATCAAATGGCTTCATGACAATAGCAATAACAATGATAATAAATTAAAATAAGCGATATTATCACATAAGCGATGGAAAGAGAAAAAAAAGAACTTATTTCTTAATTTGAGATTAAATTATTTTTTGCTAATATTAATTTAAATCATCTTTTCACTGATAATATAACGATTGTTTTGAATAATTCATTTCCTTCCCTCAATTCCTGTAAACAACTTTTATTTTTACTTGAAGAAATTAATTTAAAGAAATGATTTTTTGTTGTTATTTTATTTTTTTTTTATTTTTGAAAGAGGAGAAGAAATGATAATTTATTTATATATTAAAAATGACTTAATAAAATGAATTTTCCCAGGATTTCTCGCTGCTCTTATTTCGTTTATTATCATTCGGTGAATTTTCATCATCACAATCAATATTGCTATGGTTATTATTGCTATTATTGTTACTGTTGTTATTGTTGTTGTTGTTATTGTTATTATTGCTCGTTGCAATCGTTATCATTCTCTCATTAGCTATCACTGTTGCTGCTGCTGCTGTTGTTGTTGTTGTTGTTGTTGTTGTTGTTGTTGTTGTTGTTGTTGTTGTTGTTGTTGTTGATATTGGTGTAATCGCTGATGGTGATATTATTACAGGTGCAATAGGACTTACTGTTGTAGATTTTGGTGTTCGCCATTGTGATATCGGTCCTAAAATATAACTTTACTTATTTAATTAAATAAAACAAAATAATAATTAAAAAATTCCTGATTAATAGAAAGCAATTTTTTTTTAATTTTTTGTGTTATACATTTAAGAGCTTATTTGTTAATTTTTAGATTTAGTTTTGCTCGCATATTTCTGATTGTTATTATCGTCTCGTTGCTTACTTGTATATTTACTTACTTGTTTTGCTATATTTCATTAGCTTTCTTTCTCTCTTTTCCTCCTTTCTTATTTGATATTTTTTTCTTAAATCTTTCAAATATTACTTATCGATAGTTAAAGGTAAATGAAAAAAAAATTATGATATTAATCAACAAGCCTTTACGGATGGAAATAATATAATAAACGAAGTAATATCATCAATTATATCAATTCCCTTTCTATCCATTATTTCCTTGTATACTTGAATTTGCTAACAAAACTTTTATTAGCAAATGCAAATGACATTTTATGGATATGAAAGTTACTGCCAGTTTCGTCTATCCCAATCTATTCGATATTTCAAACTGAGAAATTCTGATTCTATTTCAGGAATTGGTAATAATTTTGATTTTCAACCGCGCAAAAAAAGAAGACACGAAATGAACGGCTAAAGGAAACGCTTAAAATTTAATTTAATTGGTTACTTTCATTAACAAGTTTTCAGATTTATCTCGTTGTAAAAGCTTATATTTGGTATTACAGAATAGATAACGCAGACTCTAATTAATGATCAATAAAAAGCAGAGAAAAAAAAAACGGAGAAAAATGACATGAATAGGACCTATGATTGGTAATCACCTGATAATCAGCTGATACTGAATTCCCGTCATTGAGTTAATTTTCCTCATTTACCATGATTGAGCCGAAACTTATCAACTATTCGCCTTCAAATAAATCAATTTCTCACAACAGCAAAACCATATCGCTGAATATTCCTCATTTGTTTATCTTATCATTATCATTATCATAATCACTATCCATATCATTATTGAAATGCCTCTCATTCCTTTTATCTTATCTTTATCATAATGGTTTCGTTTTTATTGCTATTAACATTTCAAAATGAAATAATTGTGTTTATGTTCCAGTAATAAACACCGATAATTGTATGTATGTATGTGTATATATGTCTGTTTATGTATGTGTATGTATGTGTGTGTGTATGTGTGTGTTATGTATGTACACACAAACAGATACTACGATGATGCATGTTTTCAAGGACAGGGACATTCGTGAAGGTTCCTTTCTTCCCCTAATTGAGAGGTACATCAACCAAAACCCTCATTTTTTATCTTTTTTTTTTTTTTCGAAAACTTCGCTGACCAAAACTAATTGACTTTTGCTTTGTAGAGGGAGAAACAGAGAGGAAGAGAGAGTAATAATAATAACAATAATGATGATAATAATAATAATGATAACAATAATAATAATAACGATAATCTGTCACTCCTCTCAATCATCATCATCAGCTTCCACAAAACTGATACACAAACGGATTCGATGTCAAAATTATGCTGACAAGCGGGTAAATGCGGAAATGGCAAAGATGTGGACAGAATGAGCAAAATGAGGAACAATATTTGCATTTTATAAAATTCCTTCAATTCTTCATCATTTATCATTTTATATTACATTGATATGCGAATGAACAGATATGATGGTTGATCCGCGGTTAGCTTAAAGCTATCAAAGGAAAAAACGTCTAACTTTCACGTCCCTCACGTTTAGAGTGTTTGCAGAGTAATTTTGATGGGAAAAAGAAGAAGGACAAATCCCTCTTAAAATATCACAGAACTCTGCCCACTCCCGTATCAATCTGATTAAAGGAGCATAACGAAGAGGAATAAAAGTGGTGTGATAACATATTTGGCAATACACTTGTTACCGGAGGGTATAGTAATAATCGCGATAATAACAGCAATAATAATAATAACGGTGATAAAAATGATAACAGACTGATCTCACCATCATCATCATCATCATCATTGTATAACATTGTTTGTCAGTTGTGCGCCATTTACAACTTTATTTACACTGATAATATTAAATGAGGAAATATAAACGTTGACCTGAATTATTCGAAGTTATTCGTTACCGTTCATTAATATCCATATATGTGTACATATATTTATGTTCAGACACATATGCACACACACACACACACACACACACAGACACACATACACATACGTCATCCCTTTATTATTATCACCCTATCTATGCTCATTCATTTGTTAACATGATGATGATGATGATGATGATAACTATAATGATGACAAAAGATATAGCGACATAGTTCTCATTTTATATTATAGTGAAATCAAATCGGAGAATTTTCTTGTAAATATGAAATTTCGTTTTTTCACTATCCTCCAAAATAAAAATATGATAAAAAGCAGGAAGAAAAAAAAGAGAGAAATGATGGTTTTTTTTTTTTTTTTTTAGAAAAAGTAACAAAAATGAATGAAGATTATTTCTAAATTCGAAATTAAATTTCCATACCCTTTTTTCAGTCCTAAGTTCTATTAGTTATTATTTATTAATTACATTTATCTATTAATTGCAATTATCTAATTATTTATCTATTAATTACAATTGAGAAGCATTTATCTATTAATTACAATCTCTTTATGTTATTTTCATTTTTTTTTTCAAAAAAAGAGGAAAAAGTTTTGTAATAAAAATTGATAAATTTGAATTTCTCTTTTTCATCCATTTTCAGAACCCCTCATTACATTATTTCATTTATTTCTTCCAGCATATATTATTTGAAAACAAAANAAAAAAAAAAAAAAAAAAAGAGCAAAAAAATGATGGTAAACGTCATTACGGTGAAGAGGACTTCCTTGTACTTGCATTTTTCATTATCAGTTAATTCAAACATATGCTGAATCAACAGTGATAGCCTGTACCGGTGTACGGGGTGCCCAGAAAAGCAATTTGTTGACATTACCGATTAATACTGATGCAAATTATGCAACAAAATCCTTCACTTACTTATATTTGTATGATATTTT